GGCCTTTCAAGGTCTATTTTGGCCTGTCAAGGTATATTTTTTTGGCCTTTCAAGGTATGTTTTGGCCTGTCAAGGTATATTTTTTTGGCCTTTCAAGGTATATTTTGGCCTGTCAAGGTATATTTTGGCCTGTCAAGGTATATCCAAGGCTCGAACCCACAGAAATGGGAGGGTTTGGGGGCGGGGGGGGTCGTTCGAGGGCTCTCCCAGGTAAATTCTCCCCCTCCTGGGGTGGCAGGAGCGGCCCCCCCGAGGGGGGAAAGGGGCGATCTCCGCACTCACCCACCGACACCGCACGAACTTTCCCCCCTCCAACCACCGCCCCCACCTCGGGGTCATTCGGGAGAGACGCAAAAAACCCGGAGCTCGAAGAGAAAAAAAAAAGAAAAAAAAAAGAAAGAAAGAAAGGGAAAAAAAAAAAAAGTAGCAAAGTCAAAGCTGTTTAAATAAATACAAATCCCGCAGCTCCGCGGGAGCGGAGGGGACGAGCAGTGACATTTGCTTCCAGCCTTGGGTTAGGGCTGCGGGATTTGGGTTGGCTTGGCTTTGCTGGATCGGTTCATTTTTTTGTTTAAATTATCATTTTTCCCCCCTCTCTCTTTCCCCCCTGCTCTCGCAGGCGAGCCGACTATGTATTTATTGAACTAAAAACGCAGCTATCAAAAAAAGAAGGAGGAGAGGAGGGGGAAAAAAAAGGGGGTTAAAAAAAAGAAGTAAGGGAAGTTTCTATGACAATAAAAAAGGCTACAACTGTTTGACAGGTAGTTACTGCTGTGTGAGCCTCTCCATTCTATACTCTATAAAAGCAAATGACCGTCGTAAACATCTCGATTTATCATCTGCCATAAAACGAGACTTCAAGGGGCTGAGAACTCAGTCCTTGCTTTCTTCTTTTTCCTCCTCTTCTTTTTCCTCTTCTTCGTTCCCTTCTTCTTCCGTTTTCTCCTCGTCCCTGGCCCCCGGCAGCTTATCTTTGTTGTTTTCTTTTTTCCACTTCATCCTCCTGTTCTGGAACCAGATCTTCACTTGTCTCTCGGTCAGTCCCAGGGCGTGAGAGACCTCAATCCGCCGCTTCCGTGTCAAATACGGGTTGAAGAGGAACTCCTTTTCTAACTCCAGGGTCTGGTACCGGCTGTAAGTTTGTCTGCCGCTGCGTCTTCCGGGAGCTGTAGGACACAAACACCAAATAACTTCTTAATTCTCCCGCTTCGGGGGCTCCGCTCTCCCCCCCCTTTCCCTTCCCCAGCCCCCCTCACCTCAATTTTCCTAAAGAAGCTGCTGCCTCTCTCCTCCCCCCCCCAAAAAAAAAAAAAGCCCCTTTCACCCCTTGGCGTTATCAAAGGTGCTAAAGGGAACTCGCTGGGTTATTATTAATTATAAGCCGAGGCCGGTATTGCTGCAAACGCCGCTGCTACCCTGCCCTGGCTCGTCCTGGGGAGGGCTCAGCCCTGGCTGGAGGGAGGTGGGTGTCAAGCTCATGCACAAAAGAGACCTTCCAGCTTCCCCCAAAGGTGATTCTGGATGGTGAGACCTGCTGGGCAGCCCCATTTCAGAGGACAAAAAGAAATAATATTCATTTTCCTCTGAAAGGTGCATTGTTCACCATAAAATCCTCTTCAGCCTTTCTCCTTCTCCCCATTCCTTTATCTTTCTGTCTTTCTTCCTTTTCTCTTTCTGTCTTTCTTCCTTTTCTCTTCCTTTCTTTCTCTCTTTCTCTTCCTTTCTTTCTCTCTTTCCCTCTCTCTTTCTTTCTTTCTCTCTTCCTCTCTTTCTTTCTTTCTCTCTCTCTTTCTTTCTTTTTTTTTCCTCTCTCTCTTTCTCTCTCTCTCTCT